AGGCAAAGACAAATGAGGGACGACTTTGTAATGGTGGCCTACTCTTACTCGATGATTAACGACATTATAGGTGACAGGTGACAGGTGACAGAGTAAGCCCACCATTTAACGACTAAAAATTGGCTTCTTAGGACAAACGTTGAGTAAACAAAACGCGGTCATAATGTATCTGTTCAATCGACAGCCGGCATTCTGACACATTCACACAACGTTCTTCAGTATCGTCAGCTCACCAAGAATTCGTCAGCTCTCGTACCTACCACTTCAATGTCTTATCTTTTTTTGGGTTTTTTTTCTGTCCTGATAGCAGGCTATACACTCTGCCAGCACCTCTATGGTAACTTTTGGTGGTAGTTATGGTAGCGGCAAGGATGGAGGTGATCGTCCTCCTTCTGCTTTCTGTGGTAGTGCGGTTGGTGTTGTGTCATAAGCCGTAATTAATATGCACCCGGCTGTGCGCTGGCGAAAATTTGAATCATCTGCCGTTTAGCGTACGAGCACACTACGCTCATCCTAACGCTATCTAAACCCCCGTTCAGTCAGACGTACCACGTAATTAGACGAGCACGTAATTGGTCGTCGTAGTCGTTGTCGCCGTCGTCGTCAGGATTTCGTTCACGTTGGATCCGCCAATGCACACCTCTCACGCCCATCGCCATCCCCGATTCCCACCAACAATATTTCTTTATCTTTGTTGTTCTCACCGAGTCTGAAGGCTTATCCATTATACCTTTAATCTTTATATCTTTATCTTTAATGGCTTTTGTCACTTTTTTCATATTCTCAGTAAGATTTTTCAAAAATGTTCACATTTGTGGTATCTTATTGCGCAATATGGTTAAGTGTTTCTAATGAAATCTTCGTTAAACTACACCCTTACCATCGTTATTCTCACTATTAAACTGATATTGCTCAAATCTTACACGGGGTTTCTTCTAGTCTCATATACCTAGATCTTATGGGAAGTAAAACAATCAATAGAACTGATCACGTTTACTTTGCCTCCGATCAATATTTGTTAAGCGGAGTGATAAGGAAGCGATGTGAGAGCTTTAGTCGTTCTGCTTTTGTCACAGCAATCATAGTGCGGTGGAAAAATATACATAGCTTTCGTGGCACAATAAGTTTAAAGTATTTATACTATGCATTAAATGGCTTAATTTTTTGCTATATAAGGCAAATGTCCTATATGTCTTTCTCTCTCTGGGCACAAAATGCTCTAGTGTAATAATTGAATCAACAAAGGAAATTCAGTCCTTTAAAGAAAAACCAGGCGATCTTACGGTGCTGTGCAGTATTCCACTTCCGCTACGTCCATTGTTCGGGTAATACCGAAAGGAAATTGTAATGGTCCTCTGTGACAAGTCAGTGATCCTCCATTCGGCCACGCCCCTTCTTTCTGCCTGGCTTTTCTTCTTCATTGGCAGTCTGTCGCCGTCGGCAGATTTGAATCCTTCCTCATGGCTCTCTTGTGTTCATTCACTCTTTAGCAACACTCTAACAGAAGACCGCATGAATTCTTTATCTGGTATATCTGGATGCTTAAATTTATCGGCCCTTTACTCGAGCCCTGAAATCTTTGCCCGAAACCGAATACTTTCTGTATTTTCAGCTTTTCATCAGCATTGTTTTTCGTTTTTCCTACTTATCAACTGTTGTCACTGGAACTCCATTATCATAATCTTCACTGAAAGACAAGGAAATCTGGTGGTCTTATGCATTCCGTTTTCTGACCACTCCGCTCTTAATGAGCTCTCAGTGTCGTATTTTATGTGGTCGTTGTTCCAGTGAACACTGTTCCATGCGCATTGATCAGTTGTTATCAGCCATGTGAGAGTTTTCCAACAACTATGCTCATTCAGCATTTTCTAGTGCTTATTCTGGAACTACGGACCTAACCACAGAGATAAGACTATCATGATGCTGCCTTTCTTTCCTTTCTTAGTTGTTAAATCCTTCACTGAAGTAGTATAGAATAAGGCTACAAATGAATAGTATAAAAAATATAGTATAAAATTTTAGCTCCATCAAACTTTTTAATTAGGTATATGTTACGTCATTTTTCACAAGTCCTTCGGCTAATCGTTTTCTACTAAAAAATATGGTTTTTTTAAGCAATTTAGCTCACCGTTGTGTCACTATAGACCATAGACCATTCTCATAGACCTACGAGACCTATGAGGATAGGAAACTTGCAGAAAAAGTGTTGCATTCGGTAGTTAAATCATGAATTTTGCTTTTCAATCGCGTTTAATCTCATGTAACTCTGAGTCAATATTACCTCGCTTTTGAAACCAAAGTGAGAAATAACTAAGATGCATATTGATTGAAAATGTGCCTCTTGTCTTTAATGCAGCGAGAGTAAAATGATAGAAAACAATTTTATGGGGCAAACAACCGTTGAGCGATTTCCAAGTTAGTTGCTGAGCTCTTTATAATTGCCTGATGATCAAGGTTTTGCTTTAGTCTTCAACTTCAACTCGCAAGCTGAACTCTCTAAGTTCGTAGTAAAGTTTACAGTTCTCTGAATGCGATGAATCACCGAATATCGCTTCCCTTCTTCTTCTTTGACTAAATCTCAGTTTCTTAATAGCTCAGAAATGAAATTATAACCTTAGCTATAATATCATAGCGTTTAGGGCCTGGAAATAACGTTATGATAAGGCTTTGCGGTGTTTCTACACTGTGTGTGATTTCCAATATTTCCTTTAGTTATCAGTATACTAATGCAATTTTTTGCTTTACAACAGTGTCTGCTCCTACTACTCTATTCACAAGGTAAAAACTAAGGCGGAGAACTGAGAAGAGTACCGTGTACACTGTCTTATTAAAAGAAAATGAGCTTTCTGCATAGTTTTGCTTGCTCACACCATTTTCCAGCTTTAAGAGAGCTGGTCAGATCGAGTAGTGGTGTATTGTATCCAGCCATTCTTTATTTGGCTTGACTTCTGTCGTTCAACCATGCTGACATCGTCAGGCGATAGAAAAAGACCTTCATACGCTATAGATGAAGAAGAGAATCGAGAAAGTCTTAGTGTCTTAACGATGAGGAAGAGAATTGTGAAAGCCATTGTGTCGTATAGATGAAGAAGAGAAATGGTTCTCTCGAAGGCTTGCAGATTAAGCTGACAGATGGACAGCGGTGCTTTAAATATTCAACGAACAGCATGTCACTGAGTCATGGATAACTATTCATCACGTCCAGGATTTTCTGTAGCTCCTAGTTGTGTTGCCCATGGTTGAATTATAGCAAGGATTCGGCCAGTTCTGATGCCGATTGTGCGACATTATCGTTTTTCCTCTGTTATTTTTCATGATAATATTTCTGTACATAGGCTTTTTATCAAAAAAAAAAATGCCATCTATATTCAAACAGGTTTTCAGAGAGCCCTTCTAATAAGTCTACTCTTTGATGATATAAGACCATGCTCTTCATGTGGGATAAATTGTGGTCGACTTTGAATATTGTTCGTTCAGCTCAGTATCAGTATCCTTTTGTTTTGCGGAGAGTTTTTTTATGTTTATATCGACAAGGCATCGTCATTTGAGATAAGAGCCCAACACACGAACAAATGATTCCCTAAATCTAAAAAAATGTCCCATCACATTCAGCCTTAGTCTTGGAAAATCGGGGAACGGGTGGTTCTAGTCCACATTCAATCGTCCTGTGAAATAGATCCTAAGTCTGAGTAGTTCTCAACGCAGACTTTCTATTAGCCTTGGTATTGAAAAAATAATTCACTGTACTGTTAATGAGCAAGCATAAGGTTGTAACTTTATTCTTTAATAAGCAAATAGGCGAATTCTTGATTAACTGGAAAGAATAAAGTAACAACCTAGTGTTTGCTCATTAAGGATACAGTGAATTATTAAGTCAGAGCCATAAAAACTGATAGATCTTCCGACTTTTTTTCATTTTTCTTCTAGAACTTTTCGAAGCTCCCATGTGAACGCATCAAACACTTCCAACATTAACGTGTATGATTTCATGTGAATGTGGGAAAAAACAAAGCATACGTCACATGAAAGAAACATCATCCGAAAGAGAGGATAAAAAACCATTCAAATCGAAGGCCGGAAAGGTTTAGTGGCTTTGAACACGCATCTAGCAATAGCTATCCAAAAAAACGAGGATAAAAACAGTTCTCCGCTCCGAAATCGTTTACCGAAGAGGAATCATCGAACCTCATCTGTTCAGCTTTATTAGCTGAACGATATTGCTTCTCAGACGTTTCTCTCGTTGTACTTTAAGCTTTCCCAGTTTTCTTGTGACTTCTTTCTACTGCTGAAATGTTGTAGTGCACTAATACTGTAATAACAAAGTAGTAAATATATTGGAGTTGAATAAGCGGAAAGCCGCGATCAAAGTCAGTGACTATGAAGAAGAGGAAGTCGTCGAAACTACTATGTAAAGCTACGGAAATAACAGTCCTCGTGGACAATACACGGATGGTCCAACAGCAGGGTGGGCGGTTTTCCAAAATTGGCGTCTTTTTATATGCAGGGTCTTCATTAGTACTGTATAATCTACCGAATTGCGGTGTTACTGCTACATTTGAAACGTCCAAACTGTGAGGAAGGCGAAGTAGCCGAAACGTCAACTATTGAATAAAGACAATAACAACAATAAGAACATATACACCAACGTCGTGTCGGCTTAGAGGGGTAGTTGGTGAGAACATATTTACAACTGTAGAAATGCTTTCTATTCAACGAAAACTGAAGTCCGCGTCCTTTTTTTTCCACTCAGGAGATTTTTTTCACAAAGAACTCTGAAATTGTATAACGAGAAGTTTTTCTTCCGGTTCGAGCTTAGTTCTGCATCAGATAAACCGTAAACTACTTATAGACCACATTATTAGAATTAATACAAGATTCTTCTTCGTGAAGAATCTAAAATATGGTTAGAGAAGTAATCGACTGGAAAGAAATATGACGATTCGTTGACGAAGAATTAAAATGTGGGGAAATGACATGAAATACTTTCCCCTTAAGTGAAATTATCGTAGAGCTGATGACAGAAAATCGAATCCAATACGAGCTGAAGGTGACGACGGTGCCGGGCATTCATGGATCGACAAGTAATTGTTGTTCGTAAATTTGAGATGTTCGATGCCGCTTACGAGCACATCGACAGTGAGATGAGTTTGGCAGACAATAACCTCTTTCAGAATAACCGTAACATGGGCCGGATCATACTGTCTGTCCCTTCGGTCAGTATGACGTGATGACATTTTGGCGATTCCAACGATGAAAGAAGCACCACCTTCCCCGGCCGTATCGCTACTACTTTTGAGACTAACGCTTACGGTGAGACTGCAGTGAATCATTAACGAAGCGGAGACGATCTGTGATTTGAATCTGACTTAACAGAAGACTTCCACTGTTTTTCCCTAAAGATAATTTTTTATGTCCTCTGTGCTTCCTGTGATCCAATCGAGTCCTGCAGAGAGATGAATTAAATAAAGTACTTTTGATGCTTCCTTAAGACTACAGACACCTTCAGTGTTCACTGAAAAGATCTGAATTTGTTCATTCACAAGATGTTTCCTTGACTATAGCTTACCTTAGCGATGTATTTCATAGAGACAAACTTAAAGCACACCGTTCTCTCAGTCGATTAGATCATAGATGCTTTCGTTCCTTTCAAATCGTCACCAATTTAAAATGGAAACGTTACTGCTTAAAAGCAAAATCTCGGCTTGAACCAGTTTGGCTTAGTGCGCCTCATTATGCAAATGAGCCGAAGCCAATTGTAGGTAGAAAAACCTGTCCGCGTATGTGATTTCGTAGACACCGTCATTACCTATCGTTGTAGAAGGCCAACATGGAAGAGAACCGCTCTTCCTGTGCTTCCACATGGTTAGCCAATCTTCAACCTCTGTTCCTACATGGAATTCCTGACTTTATTCTGGCTTCCCAGTAATTGTCTACATCCTCTCTACTCATACCGCCTCGTTAGCTTTTTACTGTGATTCCATATACTATTTTTATCTTACTTCAATACATTCGCCGATCGTCACACACTTTTCCGATTCTATATTTCGTTGCAAGACTTTCAATTTGTCCCCTTTGTCTCGATTTCTTTATCAACGTGATCGTTATAGATTTGTTATCCTAAGTTTTTCTGTCGGCTCTTTGTCCTCACTCTCAAAGATGATTCACTGTCATAGCAGACACGTGACGCACTGATAAAAAGTAACACGTGGCTTTTAATAGGTTATGTACATTTATATATAAATATATATGTGTATGTGGATATAAACACAAATAAAATTAGATCTACATTGCAGCTAGCGCCTCGAGTTTATCTGGGGACTTGATTAGGTCTAAAATGTGTTAGACAGGTCCGTCATGTGACTCACAAAACAAAGTATGCGGAACTCTACCGAGTTATTCAAATTCTATTCATATTCATCTCTGTTTTTCTGTTGCGTCTATCTGTTCTATTTATGTTCTATTTCGTCACCATAGTTGCTTCTCGAATGTTCCCACGCCTCAATGAGTGGTTACAGGTGCACACGGACGGCATTGTGTTCTGCTTCAGCTAGGATCACCACCCAACTGGTTGGTGATCATTACGTCGTAGTCAAGATCCAGGTTTAGTCAAGTAGTGTGGTAAGTTTTCGTCCGAAAATAGACAGAAGAACATTTCTCAAAGAAAAGAAATTTAGTAGAACAACCAAAATGTGCTACCATCTCTTGAACAGTAGTAATTTGTAATAATATAAATAAGAAAATATGAAATAGAAGGACACATGAGCGGAAGGAAAAAGAAGTCGTCTAGAGGGGATAAAGGCGACATACTCTCGACGAAGCGGCAGAGAGCACTACCTGCACATACAAACCCGTACTCAATCAAATAGAAACCATTTTTGTTAGCATAATATTCACACATTATTTTCTTGAATGTGTTACGAAACTTTTTTATTAACACATTGAAAGCAATACAAACCTTTCAAAAGAAACACTTGACAGCTTGTGTGAGCCATTTTTGACTCATAACGACAATGGTGGTGGCCATTAGAAAAGCACCAGCAGCAAATTGATTAAAAATATTTTAAAAGTACCTCTTTAATGCTTTCTTTATCACAAAATAATTTTTAATATGACCACGCCTGCAACTGTGGTATAAATATCAGCAAAGTGTCTTCTAATCTTCTTGTCTATCACTTTGCTGCTCTCTTTGTTCTAACCTTAAAAGTTTTTTATTCATTGATAATTCATAGTGTTCTAGTCCGTTATGGTATGCTTTCTTCTATGCCATTAGTTTTCATCAATTTTTGACCACTACAAAACTATTTAGTTTGTAATTGCATGTGATTTCTTCAGCTAAACGCGTTGATGACTTGATGACCGTCTTTCTCTCTTTCTCTCTTCCCCTCTGTGTCCTTTGATAGTTGAGATGATGATGAGGTTCACGGCTAAGTGTGATGAGAAAACATTTAAGTCTAACTGAACGATTCAAACATTTGAATACGTAGGTGTTACGCAATGACCGTCCATCTTACGCATTCATGGCTTGTTCACACACCAAAGATGACGAGAATTATAAGGGAGAGAAAAACATTACGGAAGGTGGTGGATGCACACTCACATCCACATCCATACAGTTTACAGCTAGTCCTTGTTCTTTGTCCCATTCAATTCAGTTCAACGAAAAGGTTCCGATTTACGGACGACACTTGCAAACCGCACCAACAAGTAGAACAGTCCTGCAAGCCGCACTGATAACCTAACTGTGATGAATTCTTTAACGATGAGCTTTCTGAAGCGCTCCTCACGTGAACAAGACGCGAGCAGTCCCACTCGTAACAGCACGGCTGAGGAAGGCGAAATCACCAAAACGTTAGCCATCGACCAACAGCACTAACAACAACAACAAGGACAACGACAACGAAAACCTATACCAACCTCACATCAGCTCAAAAAGATCAGTTTATAAGATCATATAAATAAACGAGCCAGCGTTATCAGGAGAACTCCGTCAATAATTCATGGAGGAGATTGAATGTATTAGTTTCCGAAGTGATTCTTCCCATGCGTTCTAGAAAACAATGGGATCCGAGTTCAACAAAGTTCGTCCGGTTGGTTCTTTTCTTCCGAGCTAATTCTTTCGTTTGGAATTCCCACGACTGGCTGTCTCACAATCGGGTCGTATGAAGTGTGTCGTCGTGCCTCACACCAATATTCCCACACTACGCAAAATTGCATGGGTGATTTCTCAACTGTTTCTCTTTCTTCATCGCTAACCATCATCATTTCGTATATTCATAGCTAATAGGATGTGATACTTTCATTCTTTCCTGTTCATTTTTCTCTTTTCTCTATTTTTTTTCTCTGTAGTCTAACTACATGCTTTTTCTTCTTTATTTAATCGTTGATTTCCACACAGCGTCATATGCTGAGTGATTTTCAAACTAATTAAACTGCCGTAACTATCGTCGAGGTGACTGTGTGAAATTGAACACTGATGATGATGTTGATATTCTTGCTGTTAAGCTGGATGGGAAAATCTTCTCCATGCACAATTTTGCTGTGACTACTCATCTTCGGTATTTTTTCTTTTGCTCCTTATTTTAGATCTCCTAAATTTTCATAGGAAGGACAAAAATCTTACGGCAACTTTTTAAAAGTGTCTTCTTAGAGGAGGTATGATGTTATTACCCTCTATCGGCGAGATCGCCTAAGCGAACATATACATTGGTGGTAAATACCAAATTCAAACGCTCCCGCTAACATTGGAAAGCGCCTCCACATGAACTGACTTCAGCACAGCTTCAGGCGTCTTCACCGGTTCATGTGCTTTTTTTTCTTAGTAGTTTTCTAGAAAACACAACACACATACATACAAGAACACCCAGGTACAGACATACAAACATGCACGCATACGCGAATATCTATATACACACGTACATGCGCACGTATACACACATGCATACAAAAGCGCATTAAAACATGAAAACGCAAAATCAGTTATATATGCATATACAAACTCATATATGCACATGCATACAGACATACGTGTGCACATACATATGTATTAATGTATATCTATATGATGACGATAAAATTTTTCCTTAGTCTTGCAGTGAAGTTCTAATCAACTCAGTAATATGCTTCACGAAATACCTTCCACATTAGTTGCTCACCTCTTTAAAGAAATGCTAAACCACCATGAAGTGTTCATCTAAAATCTGATACTATGATACATCTTATATAATAAATGTCCATACACCACACTAGTGCCTCATTCTTTCATATTCTTTCCTTTCTTCCTCTCTTCTATTCGTTTCCTTCCTTTTCTTTTTCCTCTCTTCGTCTTTTTGTCCATGTGACCTTACATTCGAATAAATCCTAAACACTGCTTTCCATATGTCCTCCTTTATTTCTTTGACCTCATGGCGTAACCACATTGACCACATGCTCAATGTTTGAGGGTCAAGAGCTAATCTCGACGCGAATATCGTTGCTATCGTCATCTCCTTGTATATATTACATCTGAAGTGGTTTAGATAGCTTAACCGGAACTATGGAATCCACTTTTCTTCGTCTACTTATCGTAATAATGTAATATTGATCGAATTACAAAAGATGATTCAGATACATAAGTATGTCACTCGAAACTAGTGGATTCGGCTCCGTCGAACACTGCTATACTCCACCTCGAATGTTTGACGACGCCTTAAGATGATTATGGTAATCAGTCGGCATCCAATCTGCTGTCTATGGTGTACTCATTTCTGATAACCGATGAAGAATTTAAACGTACCAGTTCCCCACCGTTCAAATATGTCGCTAGCCTTTGCAAGGCTATCTAGAGGTCGAATCTGTCGAATTATGCCGCACTTAATTTCATCAATGTCACTCCTCATCTTCCTGGAATGTAAAAGAGCTTTAGGATACGCTTTCCGGTCGCCTTGATCCCTTCACTAATTCTCCTCTCAAGCATTTTCTGTTCGTTATTGGAGAACGATAAGAATGATATAGATCTTTTCCCTCGACTCAGATATAATTAATGAGTTCATTTTTTTGAGCTAACACGATACAGTTTTCAAGTGGGCTAATTTTTTAAAATCATTTCTTTTCTTGATATATGACGTGTTTAAACGTTCATACAAGTTGTTAACTCTTCGTATGTTAGAGATAGAAACGTTTTTCGATAATCAACAGCGTTTAAATTATTGAGCTCACACAAGATTGATAGATATGTTTATTCGGCTAACGTTTCGACGTCTTCGTCTTCATCAGAGCCGACGATCCTTGTCGATGGTCCGCAGTTGTTCCTCTTCTCGATGTGGCGTCTTCGTTTCGCATCGAACCCGATCTT